CCCACTGTCCATGTCACCAACAAAGATGTTAAACAGCACCGGCCCCAGTACTGACCCCTGAGGAATGTCACTCATCCCTGGTCACCAGTTGGGATGTTGAGGCATCGACTGCCACTTTTGAGTGCGACCATCCAGCCAATTCCTTATGCAGCCGAGTGGTCCCTCCATCAAATCAATGTCTCTCTAATTTAGAGACAGGATGTCGTGTGGGACAGCGTCAAATGCTTTGAACAAGTCCAGGTAGATGATGTCAGTTGCTCTTCCCCTATCCATCAATGCCGTAACCTCATCATAGAAGGCTGCCAAATTAGTCAGGCAGGATTTGCCCTTAGTGAAGCCATGTTGGCTGTCACCAATCACCTCCTTGTTTTCTGTGTGCCTTAGCATAGTCGCCAGGAGGATCTGCTCCATGATCTTGCCAGGCACAAAGCTGGGACTGACTGGCCTCTAGTTCCTTGGGTCTTCCTTTTTTCCCTTTTTAAAAATGTAGGCTGTTTCCCCTTTTCCAGTTGGTGGGAACTTCACTGGACTGCCATGACTTCTGAAATATGATGGATAGCGGCTTAGCACCTTCATCTGCCAGTTCCCTCAGGACCCGCGGATGCACCTCATCAGGTCCCATGGACTTGTGCACCTTCAGGTTCCTTAGAAGGTCTTGGACCTGATCTCCTACAGCGGGGAGGAGCCGTGAGGAGCCAAGTCGCTGTTCCGCCTGGCAGCGGAGGCCTGTGTCACTGTGCCATGTGTTTGAAGCGCTTTCCTGCCCTGCTGTGCCATCACACTCCAGCAGTTCCTGGGAAGGTTTCGCACGCTTCCCCGTCTGTTTGGGCTGAATCTCGTGCTTTTGGCTGGGCAGGCCACACGTTCCCTCCAGTCTCCAAGGGCCATATGTTCTTCCCCACCCTGCGGCTGAAGCCGTTGTGCGTACATGATGTAGCCAGTGTGTATGTGTGCAGCAGATCTGCTTCTGGATGCAGCTGGATTCCTGTACATATGCACATGAAAACGCATGGAGCATATGTGCCTGCCATCCATTCCCTGCCAGGGAGGGAGGGTGGCCAGGAGCATGGGCCTTGGCTGTTAGCATAGCTCACCTCGCCCTTAGTTTCCGACCGTGGATGAGGGCGGAACACCACGGGTCGTGTAAGTTGGTGACCTCATGTGCCATGCGGGTAGTTAAAGTACAGGCAGTTGTGAAGGAGAAGATGAGGTGGAACCTGATGCCACCAGCACACACAAATCCCATCTTCCTTTTGTTTTGCTTTCTTATGCCAAGAAGTCGTCTGCCTGTCCCGTGATGAGAGCTGTCAGGCATAGTCTGAGGATAACCACAAGCAGCTTTTGAGCATCTTTGCTCCTGACAGCTCAGTTCCGAGACTGACAGACGGACACGTGCCATTGCTGCTGCTGCTCTGCTCCTGGCTCTTTGTGTTGCTCTGGTTTTATAACAGTGTCCCTGGTCTTCAGGTGCTGCCGCGTTCGACATCTGTTGGTCACTAGCAAACAGGAGGGGCAGCCTCGGTGCCCGTGTGATTTTACTTGTTGTCTAGAAATTCCGTCCATTTTCTTTCTGCGATCAAACTTCTAAACAATGTACCAGGATCCTTGTATAGCCTTTGCATCTGGTGTTGAAATCACAGCAGGGTATGCTGCCTGTGTTGGGGTAAAATACTCATGTTTTGGTGGTAGATGCTTGAGACGTGAAACCAGGGTTTATTTTTAGATACAGCAGCCTTGGACTTCGTGGTTATAGTCTGGTTCTCTCGCGTTTGTGTGGTGCAGTTCCTGAAGTAAAGGGCTGCTGGGGGGATGCAGATGGCAGTTACTCGTGCAGCGTCTCGCAGGTGGGCTTTGGGATCACGTTGTGCCGCCGAAGGTGAGGGGCTCCTGCGGCGTGCCTGCAGCGCCACGTGGCTCTGGAGCCGTCGTGTTCTCCTTACGGGACCAGCCACAAGCTGGCCAGTTTCTTTGGATTCTCACAGCGCTGGAAGTAAGGCACGATCCTCCTGGCTGTATACTGGAGTAAAATACTGTTTGTTCTCTCTTCTAGACATGTTGTTGTGAAGACTTCTCCCAACCACAAATACATCTTCACGCTGAGAACCCATCCCTCGGTTGTTCCTGGCAGCATCGCGTTCAGCCTGCCCCAGGTACGGTTCCGTTTGACCTGGTGTTTGGCTGAAAAATGAGCAAAATCTCTGCTGAGGTCAGGGTTGAAGGTAGCTGTTCTAATTGGAGGGAGATGTCTGCAGAAAGGCGTGCTGCAGATTTGCTTTCTGACTGCAAAAATTGAAGGAGACTTTTACTACTGCTGGAGCAAACTTGCTTATATTACTTTGATCTATTTTTAATGCACAGTGGGAGAAAAATACTAGAAAAGGTGTAATTTAACCTTTTAAAAAGCCACAAGAAACAAACCGTTTCACAAAGAAAAGCCTAATCAATGTCCGCTGTTCTTTGTGAAATTTTATTTCTCCCTGTTTTCCCTTGACTTTAAAGGGTTTTCTTTCAAGACCTGCAGGAAGTTTTATTGACTATATTGACTAACGATTGACTATGTTCAGACATTGTTAGTATTTCTAGATGGAAAGTGCAATGTAAAGCAAAAAATATTTAACTTGTCTCTTCTTTCATGATTAAGTCAAGTTACCACATGCTAAGTGATGGTTACAATAAATAATTGATACGATTAAGTGCTGATTAGAAAAATGAGTCTTGTAGGCTGTAACTGGCTTACGCAGCGACTCACAAAACGTAAAACTGCGAGAACCACGGTCACTGATTCAATGCTGTCGTGTTTTCCTGCTAGTGACTAGTCTAGAAGCTCAGTCTCTGTGCTGCAAACACAAGATTGTTCTTTTCCTCAACAGATGACTTGGCATAGGCCCCCAAACCTCTTTTTGCTTTGCGATGTCCCGTTCAAACTCCGATTTGTCCGGATGAGTGGGTGAAGAGGGGGTTGTGTTAACCGTATGTCTAGTTACTGTTTGTGATGCCCAAACTGAAAACCAGTTATCAGTAGGTGATATTTGTGTCACAGGGTTAAAGCAGGCGCATTCATGGTCTAGGGTTGATTTTTGTAAATTCCAGTCGTTTTGCAGAGCCAGGAGAGCTCTCCTGCTAAGGAACGAGGTAGGCTGCTTACCTCTAAACAGTGACTATGGTAGGAAGTGTCACAACTCCTGGTGTAGGAATGTTTTATTTGAGTATTCCAGGTGCTACGATTTAATTTCCACTATTTCCTCAAGTCTTGGATAATTGCAACCAGCGTTACACAAAACGTGTGTCCATGGAGGGTCATGCAGTGGACACAGGCTCTAAGACCTCCAAGAAAGTCTGTTGTTCGCTCATTGTGCACATAAAGTTCTTGACCACATTTATTCTGTAATGATCTCAACTGCTTGGCCGAAATACCCAAAGCCATGAAAAATTCTGTGTACTGCAGAGACCGAAAGATGAAGGGCCGTGCAGTGATGATAAACTTCTTAGGAGAAAGTACCTAAATGAACGTAGGAGTTGAGCTGTATCTCTTGTCAAAGAGAAGATCTTAACTAGTCTTTCTAGCTGAACTCGGACAACTTTCCTTCCTGTCCTGAAGTTTGGTGAAAAGCTGATCCTGGAGGGTTTAAGCAAAGCTCAGTGTTTGCAGGGGTGCCGGTGTGCTGCCCACTGTTCTTGCACTGGTGCTCACCAGGTGAAGGTGAGTTTGGGATACCTTTGGCAGAAGAATTGGAGCGTCAAGGGGACGGGGAGAATTCTTCCTGGCCTCGCAGGTAAACAGTGGAAGCTGTGAAGCATGAGATTAAATATGGAAACATAATTTGTTTTTACCTTCTTGATAATACCAGTAAGTACATGTAAGACTTCCTGTTCTGGGCTTTGACTTCTAACAAGTTGATCCCTGTTGTGTCAAGGGAATTCCTTCCTTAAGCCTAAATTCCATCTTGAACCACAAACACACTGGAGAGGGAGTACGGGGGGAAATTTTCATTTTTTAAAAAAGATCATTGTATTCCTTCTCTCGACTTGTTCCTTCCAGATAAAAAGCCAAACGTAAATAAAGTACAACATTTCCAATTGCCAGAGCCTTGTGTAATGGTACTTGGATATTTTTGTGATTCCTGTCTCTAAGGTTTAGATGTTTGGGACACCGTGAATACCGCATAGCCTGAGACGTGGACTGTAAATCCACACTAGCCAGTCTAAAAGAGCCATTAGAAAAACAGCATTTCTGCAATTATCAAGCCAGAACTTTTGGCATAGTAAAGGTCACGGATTTTCATGTTGTGTAATTATTGAACCATTTCCCACTTCTTGTGCAGTTCTGTGCTGCACAGATCTTTTTCGAGGAATTTGAAGAGACCTAAAGGATTTGAACAGTTCCGTTCCTACTAGTTCTCTCAACAAGTTTTGTTTTAGGTAATTTTAGAACTTAAAGCACGTTACAACTGTTTCCTGCAACTATTAGTACATGGAAGCTTTTAAAATGATGATGGGATGTAGAGCAGCCTTCCTTGCCTGTGGCACTGCCTCCTGTGTGATCAGCACTGGAGCTTTGGTAGCAAATGAGCAAAATGGCCCAAAGCCCTGTCCAGTACCATAACGTCTGCCTCCGAGACGCTGGGGCGGCCGAAAACATAAAGGAGGTTGGACAGGGCGACCTCCTGAGGTCAGCAAATAGAATATATCGTATGAACGATTGGTTTTGACTTGTTTCCTGTTCACTTGGGGGTCTTTGTAAGATCCTACTCTGCCCTTTTTTCCGGCTCCTTAAGGTTCCCGTGGGGGAGCCTGTTTCTGAGTGAGGATGATGAGTTTGAGCAGGTGTTTGCCGTGGGGAAGGACAGGCTTTCTGAAGTTTCTGTCTTGTTTTCGCAGAGGAAATGGGCCGGACTTTCCATCGGACAAGAGATAGATGGTAAGTCCGTGTGCAGCATGATCGTGACGTGTGTTTATAAAAGCTGAATTCCATGTTTCCCTACTGAAGTGAAAGTGAATTGGAAAACCCTGAATCTTCAGCCCTTCCTCAGGTAATGTGGGAGCCTCCTTGGTGAAAGGGAGTTGCTCTCCCATCTGCAGGCTTTCTGTCTCCTCAGGTTTTCAAAATCTGGAGGACTATTTTGGCTTCTTGTCTTCAGATGTCTGGTAGTGCATCAGCATAGCTCTGTATGGAACGTCAGTGTCCACGTGGAAACGTGTTGAACGTGTCCTGGATAGTCTGTTCTTGTGGTTTTGGAGAACACTTGTCGCTAACAGAAACCACCGGCGAGGATATTCCTGGCATCTAAATTTCAGCATTGAGAATGGGGAAGTTTCAGTGCCGAGAGTCGCCAGAAGCCAGCGGTGTGCTCCGGGTAGCCGGAGCGATGAGCTGTGTGGGTTTCACCAATAGCTGACTGGAATGTTCTGCGGTATGATGAAAGGAGAGGGATGCCATCTCGAGTTTGTGCAAAGTGGAGATCTGTATTTCAATTTCAAGCCTTAATTGAGCCTGACAAGCCTTTGCCCACGTTCAGAGAGGAGACTGATTTGCGTCTCTCAGCTTGCACGCTCGATCCTCCATTTATTCGTGCTGTCTGTCACCGTTACTTCTGGCTTGTGAACGGTTGGCATCGTTGTCAGTTGTAGGTGCTGCTGTTTGGTTTGGCTGGAGCTTCTGGAGTGTCGACCAAACTCCTGGCAGCAGCTGTTGTTAGGAGGAGGGTCTCCTTGTTCTTTGCAACAGCCCGTCAAGGCGATGGATCAGGTCTGTTCTGACCATGAGGATTTACCCGTGTGCTGCTGGGGGCAGCCACCTCACCCCTTTCCTTGACAGCCTCTAATGGTGTCTGGCCCAGGGTCGTTGATGTGGAGCAAACTGTTCGTTTGACCACTCTTTTGCTGTTTGAGGTGTTTACAGTGATTCCATGGAATTCTGTCGTTTGAGAATTGTGGGCAGAGCGGATGATGGCATCATATGTCGAAAAGTGAGGAGGACCTGGAGAGAGAAGTGGTGCAGCAGTGGATATGGGGCACTGTTAGGGAAGCTTGCTCCTTGGCTGTTTTCCCAGCTCCTTTAGTCTCAGCAAGCCCGTGGGCATGGATCAGTTCTTGAGTGTGAAGTCCGATGTCTTCATGGATCTCTCTTTGTAGTGACAAGCTAGAGTGGATCTGTTTGCCTCTCTAAACAACTAGATACCTCACAGATCATAGCATCACAGAATGGTCTGGGTTGGAAGGCACCTCAGAGATCATCCAGTTCCAATCCCCCTGCCATGGGCAGGGACACCCTCCACTACACCAGGTTGCCCAAAGCCCCATCCAGCCTGGCCTTGAACACTGCCAGGGATGGGGCAGCCACAGCTTCTCTGCGCCTGGTCCAGTTGTTGTTCTCACAACCCGTTACAGTGTCTCAGCACCCTCAGAGGGAAGAATTTCTTCCTTAGATCTCATTGAAATCTACTCTCTTTCAGTTTAAATCCATTGCCCCTTGTCTATCAATCATGCTTGGAAGTCATTTCTTTTTGCTAGCTGATTTTGTTTTGTTTTTTGAACTGAAGAATAATCTGTAATGAGGAGAGGAGACCCATAAATTAATTTCTCACCCTTGTTTGGTTGCTGATCAGTAACACGTGCCAGCTGGCTTACAGACAAATGTGTTTTAGTTCTAAAGTTATTTGGGAAAGCAGCACTAATCAGCACTATTAGCTGTTAGAGCTGATGTGTGGTCATACTGGTACTAGACCTTGCTGTAAACTTGCCAGCTGTGTGGGAATATGTAGTAAGAAAAATAATGCAGTGGTTTTATGCAGTGACTAAGTGTCATATGACTCCCTGCTGAGTGAAAAGGGTTTGTAAAGCTGTTCTACAGGTAGGGAGGAGTATTCATAAACCCAGTGATTTACTGGGGCTCTCTTTTTGTCTTCTTCCCCTCATAATGTCAAAACTATGTTTTAAATGGTGGTTTTAACCGCAGTCCCCTGCTCCGCGGTGCCGTGGAGCGGAGTCCCACTGGGCCCCTGATGCTGTGGGAGAGGCTTTCCAGGTGGGTGGACGTTGTGAGTTGGCCTTGGAAGGGCTGAGCGCCTCCAGTGGATACGCAGTTGTCTTCCCTTCCGTGCGGATCAGCTCCATCAGCTCCCGTGTTCCAGCTGGATGCCTGGAGCCGGGGAACGGCTGCCTCCGCGGCGTTCTCAGTCCCGGGAGGTCCCTGCTGCCTTCTCAGCCCGCCTCTGTTTCGAGGACGTTACAGGATTTCGAAGCTGGTCCTGTGTGCTGCTTACTGACTGCATCCCTAGTGGTGCGTTACCGTTCCCCTCTGCCGGGCATCCCCGGCATTCAGTCCTGGACGTGAGGACGACTCAAACTCAGTGCACGCCTCAGTTCTGTGATGTGACCAGGCCCAGGGACTGATATTCTTTCCAGAAGCTTTTGTTTGACAAAGCCCTGAGATTAGACAAGTAAAAGGAAGTAGCTGCCCTGAAGTGACCGGTAAGGCAAGAAGAACTCCTGTTGTGCCCTTGCAGGACCAAAGTCCTTCATTAGCTGTGGCTTATGTGATAACTCTGCTGCCATATGCCTTTTTGAAGGAACTAGTTGATGTCGTAGATACAGCTCAGGTCAGGAAGTGGTTTAGTGTTTTGTCTTTATCCCTGTTTCCCGGAAGATTTTTCTTTGACAGCTCATTTCTAGGTGGCCTATTCTTATACCAGGAAGGATGTTAAAGGTGCATTCTGTGGTGACCTGTGTGTCTTCTGGTAACAACTTCAGCAAGAGACAGACTCTCTTTATTCTCTCAACTTGAACAAATCACGTATTTGACATCACATCTTCCCAGGAGTCTGCAGCTTTATCCTGAAACTATTCTGCTACCAAGAGGCTTGATAGAAAATAGTAGGTTATATATGAAGTACATTTCCCTTAGTCACCTCCTACTGTTTTATCCTTAGCTGTGACTTCTGTATCAGATGGGACTTTCTTCTCTAGATTCAAAGCAAACCTAGAATGTTCCTCAGTCTTCTGGAGAAACATCCGCTTCTGCCCTTTGTCTGGTTTGTGAGTTATTAGGACTGTCTGCTTTGTGAGATCCTGTCCTTCTGAGCAGTTGTGCTGAGGCAGTATCCCCGAAGTCATCCACCATCCTCTTCTTTCCTTTCTATCCTCTTTCCTCCAGCAGCAACAGCCCTAAGTGGCCTCGTGTTTTTGGCATGATGTGATTTGAGACCTGTCTGGATTTGGTGCAGTTGGCAATGACTGTGAAGTACCCTCCATGCCACTTTGCTTTCTGCCCCCTTTCAAGGGCTGTTCGGATGATTCTGCATTACTGAAGGTAACCAGGAGCATGTTAGGATGGGCCCAAGTGCTCTTCTCGGGTAGGGGCTATTTCCTTGGGTAGTTGATGCTTCACTCTGGTAGATTGTGTTACTGCACTTGAATTTGCAGGTAATGTAACTGTCTGCTACCTAATCTGGAGAAGAGCTAGTCAATCTGTTGCTACAGAAAACTAGTTATGACCTCTTGTCATTGATTTTTTGGGCAGGAATACTCTTAACGCTCACTTTTGGGCTTTCTGAAGACATATCCTCCAAACCCTTACATGCAGATAGAGCTATCATGGTACTACAACGTGTGTGAATTTGCTTTCGTTGTCCCCACTCCCTGAAGCTTGTATGGTGTTGGACCTGTTTCAAAGGAGACTATTAGAGTTTTTAAAGAAATGCAGGAATTTTCAGTGGCGATACATTTGCTGTATTTTTGATCTTGTTGTAGACCATGGATGTAAGAGAAATAAGGGTTTCTATCAGAAATAATATATTTGATTTTATTGAGTACTCATCCTGAGTGGAAGAGCACGCACTGCCAAACTTACAGTATGTTTAATATATTGTGGGGGGACCTTGCTGTTCTGAAATGTGCTGTTTCTTTTTTTTTTTTTTAACAGTTTCCTTATACACTTTCGACAAGGCTAAGCAGTGTATTGGCACAATGACAATCGAGATCGATTTTCTGCAGAAGAAGAGCATTGACTCCAACCCCTACGACACGGACAAGATGGCTGCTGAATTCATCCAGCAGTTCAACAGCCAGGCCTTCTCCGTGGGCCAGCAGGTGCGGGTTTGGTTTGGATTTGGTTTTTAGGGCCAAAATGTTCTTCAGTAGCGTGCGCACGCTTGTCGTACAGTGATGTCAAATACTGCAGAGTGCCCAGGTACCGACCCTGCGCTGCAAAGGGCCGTCAGCAGAAATTGTTGTGGGAATGGTTTCTGTAGGAAAAGTTGAACCATCATGACTTTCACTGAGAGCATGAGCAGAGTTGAAAATCTGCCTTTTCCTCATCTGAAGAAGTCGATATCTTTCTTGCTGAGGAAAATCCCAAGGCTTGAGGGAGCTGGGTTCGCTCTCCGTTGTGGCCTGGTTGGATTTAAGCGTGGCAGCTCCTGGAATCTGTTGAGAAGGTACTACTGGGAATTAATTACCACTGGTGTCCAAGGGCAGTGTATTTTATTGTAACGTTTCTTGCTGCTCTACGGACTCCCGTAGTAAAACAGGTATGAAGTGTTTGACTTGGGGATTTCTGAAAGCTGATGTCCCTGTCATTGAGCCTTCTCGGCCTGGCAGCAGATGGGCTTCTGCCCCTGCGAGCGTCTGCGGTAGCCCCTGGTTTGCCATATTCTCAGGACATGTCAAGGTCTGTCTCTCATAGCAGTTTACAACTTGCAGGGTCTGAATCTTAAGACAAACTGAAATGTGAAAGATAGAAAGATTTGAGCTCAGTTGTTCTCCCTGCCTAAAACCAGTGTTTAAAGTGAGAGGAAAGTGTCAAGAGATGATACAGAACTGGGGAGAAAAGGGGGCAAAAGAGAACCTTTTCTTGGAAGGAGAATTCTTCTTTCAGTTTTTCCAATTGACTTCATGTTCTTCAACTTTTTGATCTGTTACCGTTAAGTGTGGAACAGGAAAAAGACGTGTTCAGTACACCGGACCTTTACAGGGTGAAAACTGAGTGGCATTTGTTGGGTGGTAAACTTAATCTTCAGGCCTCTTTTCTCTTCAAATCTTAGTAACCTTGTCAAAATCCTTTCTAGGTTTTTAATGAGTTAAAATCCCCTTCTGTTTTTTCTTTCCACAGCTTGTGTTCAGCTTTAATGACAAGCTTTTCGGCCTCTTGGTAAAGGACATGGAAGCCATGGACCCCAGCATTCTCAAAGGAGAGTCTGGAGCCAGCAAAAAGCAGAAGGTAGGCTCCCAGGAACTCATGTTCATTCCCTAGGGACGGCAGAGATTCAAGTACTGATCAGATCTTGCTGCAAGGAGGAATTTAGGTTACTTGCATTCGGAGAAGTTGCCCATTTGTTTCATCTGGCGGCGTCTTTTGCTTCAGAGAAGATGAGGAGCGTTGATTTTGGTTTAGTGCAGTCTCCTGGGCTTCTGTAGTTGGGAGCTTAGAGTTGCACCCACTGAAGTGCAGAGCTGGGGAAGATGCAAGGAATATCTTTTAGTCTTTATGTACTAATTCATGGAAACATCCTCTCTTGACCCTGTTTGCCTTGCAGATATGTCCAGTTTTGATTTTTCATTCTGTAGAAAGGACATGATTTTTTTTTCTTCTTTACTTGCTAGATCTCGCTGAAATAAAGCAGTTGGGTTTGAACTAAACAAATAATTTCAGAAAGCCAATTTATTATATCCAATGATCTTCTGCATTCAATGATGTTAGTTTTAGAGGAAATGTTGGTATTTCACATGCTTCCCAATGACTGTTGTAGTGGGACTTTTGCTAGTTTCTTGCCTTCTGAGATGTGCTTGAAGATACCTGAGGAGCAATCTGAAGTTGAGCCTAATAGCTTAACGTAATTATTTGTTTCGCTCCCTTCTGCAGATTGACGTTGGTTTGGTTCTTGGAAACAGTCAAGTTGCCTTTGAAAAAGCTGAGAACTCCTCTCTCAATCTGATCGGTAAGTGCCACTGTGTAAAGACATAGATAATGCTTGAAGTTTGCTGCTTTTCAGGCCTCGGAGACTTGTGTGCCTCAAAGTTTGTTTTTCTGGTTAACATCAGTTGACCTAATCCATTGAAAACTGCATCTCAAAATGTCTCCCAGGCATCTGTTTAAACTAGAAAATGACGGGATTTGATCCCTTAGGAACCTCTCACACCCTTCAGAAAGCAGTTTTTGGATGCTCAAGACTCTTGAAAACCACTGCACTCAGAAGACACCATCCTTCCAGCAGACTTTGCTGCTTCTCAACAGGGGCTCTCTGAAAGTCACTGTCCTCCCAGTATGAAGCTCCACAACTGACCAACATACCAGAGAAGTTCTGTGGGTCTCTATACCATACATGTCACCACGGCGCATCTGAAATACAAAGACACAGAGCTAGGAGGAGAAAAGATGGGTGTGACTTTGAGAGGCTCTGACAATAGCAAATGGAGTTAGATGAGCAGAGAGGTTAACCTGCACTTCTGGCCCTGGGTTAGAGAGGCACCATGGAACAGTAGCTGCAGCAAAAGTCAGCAACTAGAGTCACAGAATCACAGAATGATTGGTTGGAAGGGACCTCAAACATCATCCAGTTCCAACCCCCCTGCCATGGGCAGGGACACCTTCCCTTACACCAGTTTGCCCACAGCCTCATCCAACCTGGCCTTGAACACTTCCAGGGAAGACACTCCGTTCTTCGGTCTTCTAGAGTCATTCACATATTCACCTCACGTAGCATCTTGTCAGAGGAGGAGCCAAAGAGCTTATCTCAATGTAAGCTTGAAACCACACTTTTGTGCTGGCATACAAGGACTTGAAAGAATTTTATCCATTCATTAGTTTCCTTTCTTAATGTGGTGCCTGTATGTAAAGGACTAGATCAAAATTAAATTATCCTCATCATCAGACTCGGTTTCTTTCCATATTACCCCCTCCATCTTTACCTTCCTTAAAGCTCCCTGCTAACTGGCAGTTCCCAGCCATGCTCTGGCTTCAGCTTCTGTAAATGTTCTTTCTGAAGATGAGTGTCTAAACAAGCAAACCCTTATTAGCTACTCACAACCTTATTAGTCCATGTCAAGAAACCAAGCAAAGCATCCCTCCAGATCATGTTACTAGTCAGTAACTCAGGCAGCTTCGGAGCCACCTCTTGGTGCCCACCCTGGATACAGAGTATTTGTAAAAGGCTGAAAAAGTTGCTTCTCTTTACTCATATTACATGAATCCGTTTTCTTTCTTTCATGGTAGCCATCTAACGAGTGTCAAATTAATGCAGTATGCAGTACTATACTGTGAAATACATACCTTTAAAAGTTAATTAATCTCTTTTCAAAGAGACACTTTCTAAAACCTCAACAAAACGAATCTTTATGTACAATTTCAGACTTTACTAGCAAAGAAATCAGGGAATAACTGATGTATCCTTCACACATTCCTTTAGAAAGAAGCTGGTGTAGAGCTGGGGAGGAATTCCCATAGAGCCACCAGCTTGGATGATGGGGTCCTGGACCACAAAGCAGGCAGTGAGGGCCCCTTCCCTGAGTCGGTTGTGTGCCCTGGCACCTTGTGGCTGTCCTGCAGAACAGACGCACACTCCGTCACTCCAGCTGTTCCGTTTCTTGCCGGTGTTATGAAGTGGGTGATACCTGGCAAGCCTGCAGTTGCCAACACCTCTCTTGCTGGTAGTATGGCTCAAGGCGTTCTTTTCTGGGTGTGATTCAAGTCCTGTACTTGAACAGACACTCTTATTTTTCTTTTTTCTCATTTTCCTTTCCTATTTTGTTCCTTTTTCCCGGAGTCTCAGCTAAGAAAACTTCTCCTTTCCTGCTACTCTTCCACAGACAAGAAGTGGCAGGTGAGGGCTGCTGTGAGTGGGGTTTCAGTGAACCTGACCAGCTCAGAGGAGCACTCAGTCGAGTTTTAATACTTATTATTTTTGTGGTGGGCTTCAAAGCACAGCTCTGCTTGACTGTGAATGCTCAGTGCTTTGGGTGTTTATTCCAGAAATGAAACACAAGAGGGTAGAAGCCTCTCAGGGAAGTCGAACTCAGCTCAGTCAGCATTGCAGGAGCCTGTGGCAGAGGCTGAGTTTTGATGCTGCCCTGAAGTGCCATCTTCCCTCACATGCCAGGCTTTGGCTTCGTGTTCTGTAGTTGTCTCCACCGTGTGCTACAGTCGCTCCAAAAATGGGGAGAACGAGACTGTTGTGTAACCACGTACCGTGTGTCTCACGTGGGTGTTTTTATCTGAAAGCACAGCCAGTCGTCTGCACTGGGAAAAACCCCACCAGAGGTCCGCAGGCTGAATTGTAGAGGACTGTAATTAAGCATATTAACAAGGATACAGGCTTTAAGAGCACTGAATGACATTTGCATGGGCAATTAGTTCATACCTGTGGTAACACGATCACAGCCCCTTTAGTTTTTGCTGTGTTTTGGTAGGAAAGCTGGAGGTGAGTACTGACATAATGCAATTTATTGCGTCTGATCAAGCAGTGATATTTAACTTGGTTAATATTCAAAGCCCTGTAATGACCCGTGAGCTTCCTCCCAGCAGTATGGGTGTGAAGGGTGGTCCTGTGGGAGAGCTGAGTGATTGGAAATAGGAATCCTTCACTGTGATTCAATTTCATTGCCTGCAGACAAGGCAAGAGAGTTGCTTATGCCTCAGTTTACTTCTGTCAGATTGGTACTTCATTTAATATCCTCATTGATCTGAGGCAGAGCTACTTAATGTGCTTTGTTAGTCCCTGGAGAATTGTAAAGTTTTAAATAATTAAGTTCTTAGAGAGGAGATCTAATAGAAAGGAATTGTAATAATTTAAAAAACCAAAAAAGCCAATTCTATTTCTCCTACTTAGCATAAAACCACATGTTATAAAACCAGTGGATGATGTTGTAATTCAATTTGCAAGAATTTGATTGTGATGGGATGCAGCCAGAAGAGGGGGGTATAGGCTAAGCTCTGCAGGAGGAACATCCCTGGCGGAGTGGTCTGATCTGAAAACTGTAGTGGAGCAACCAGGTAATAAATACTGAGTAAGCAGTGAACCAAGCTCTCACTGCTGCCCTGCATGGCCCTGCGTGTTACTGCTGTGTGTTCTGCCTACCAGCAGGTTGTCCCTAACGCGTGGGTTAAAGGCATGTTCGTGTGTGTTTGTTTTGCTGCACTTGGAATTGAAGTGTCGATTCCAGGTGTGCTCAGCCCAAGATTAACAGCAGCCTAATTCAGCTAACACAGGACTCTTTTTTAGGGTACTCACTGGACTCGTAGGTGCTAACTCATTATCTGGCTCCACTTGGAGCATCTCTAGGAAAGGTTATGGAACAAATCAGCAAATAGACAGTTGTAGTTTGCGACGACTGGCTTTTTAGGGGAGACAATGATCGCCAGGGCCAATCCTGTAAAGCACTGTGCAAGTGTGAGAAAACACGAGACATCCACTTTCTGCATGAGTTCAGGATGATCTGCAGAGTCTTTGCTTTCTCTCTGGAGTTTTGTATTACTGTTGATCCCTCTGGTAGCTAAGCAAGGCCATGATGCTGAAAGCCCTTTGGAAGTGCCGATCTAACCGATAGGAGCGTCCGTGCTCGTGTGTGAATTCCCTTGAAGGGACCGAAGGCGATACTGCATGGATCGGCAGCATCTCAGCAGTATGCTTCTAGGAGCATTTGTGCTTTTTGTCTACTTCCTAAATGCCCTGAGTACTTTAAAGCAGCTCTGAAAAGGGAGTGAGGAGCTCTGAAAGACTGACACGCACGTGGTTTGTCAACAGAAAGGAAAAGAGGGTGGTTACACCGTTGCTTGGAGCCTACAAAACCTGTGCTTAGGGGGATCTGGCTCAACTTAAACCAGCTCTAGAAGACCTGGAACAAACAGACAAAATGCACTGTGATGGTTTGCCAAGACTGGCTTTGATTGTTCTGAGTTGTAAAGGAGCTAGCTAACCTCGTGATGGCTGTGTGTAACCTTGCTTAGAATTGCTGTGGTGTCTGAGGACTGCAAGATGGTGAACGTGCTGTCGGTTTTTGAAAAAGATAATAGAGAAGGTCTGGCGAGCTACAGATCTTTGAACCTGAAATCTGTACAGAAGAGATCAACAGAAATTGTAATAAAGAATTAAATGAGAGGATATCTATATACACTGGGAAGGGTCAGCCTGTCTTCTGTAAGGGCAGCCCTACCTCATGATCCCACTGGAGTTCATCATGGGAATCAAAAACCGCAGGCTGACATAGTCTGCTTGTTTTTCAGAGCTCTTCCAGCAAAGTTCTTATCAAAGTTTCTTTGAAAAGTATCTAAACAGAGATCTGCAAGAGAGAAGGTTCTTGCATGAGTAGGTGAGTGATGAAAGGATAGGAGTAAATAGCCAGTGCCAGTGGAGTTCGGTGTGAGTCTCTGCTGGGGCCTTTGCTTTTCATTACAATTATTGAATAAACTGGTAAAAAGGGTGAGTAATGAGGTGACAGAGCTTGCTCTTGTGCAGCTCGGTGACTAAGAGATAAAATGGCAGAGGAAATGCAATATAAATAAACGTGAAGTGATGCGTGGGAGGAAAAACACTTCTAACTTTGGTCAAAAATGATTGTTGTTTTTGGGCCAAGATCCCAGGTACGATCATTTGAAGGAGATGCTGGACCCATGCTCAGGAGCAGCCTGAGCCCTGTTGTTAGGAATTATTAAGCACAGTTGTTAAGAATTATTACACGTTATTAAAAAAGGAATATGAACAATCTGGAGCATAATTTGGTACCTGTATTTAAGATACAAACAAAGCACAGGGCGTGCAGTTCTGGTCTGCCTGTCTGTCAGAGGGCAAACTAGACATCGTGCAGGCTGGGGGGGAGCAGGGTGCTCAAGTGTGGAGCAGCTGCTGCCTAAGGAAGGAGGAACGAGTGAGGACTGCTCTGCCTGGAGGGTACAGGGCAAACCTGTTGTCATCCCAGGCTTGACAGAGAGTTGATACTGATGCTCTTTATTGCCTCTTCAGATGTAAGGCTTGGGAGACGTGAGATGAAGCTGGTAGGAGCTGGCTCGGGCACACAAAGGAGGTGTTTGGTTGTGCAACCAGTAGCAGACATGATGAGCAGGATGCTGTAGGGCGTTCCGGGTACTGAGCTTACATGGGTCCGAGGGGACCGAGGTAAATTTGTGGCAGAGAAATCTGCTGTGGATTCTTAAATACATGGGAGCAACACCTGGCTTGAGAAATCCCTGAGCTGGGTGGTTGGAAGGCTGGGAAGATAGTTTACGAAGTAAGCCGAGTCTCTGGTGTGCTGCCCTTGCATCCTTCTCCGTGCATCCTCCTGGCTAACGTTTGAAACCGAACGTCGAGTTAGCTGGGCGCGGGTCTGACCTGGTAGAGCTGTTCTGGTGTTTGTACTTGTATTTGCTGTAATTCTGCTGTGCTACGTGTTTGAAACGATTTCTTTTTTTTGACAGGTAAATCAAAGACCAAGGAGAACCGCCAGTCAATCATCAACCCAGACTGGAATTTTGAGAAAATGGGCATCGGGGGTCTCGACAAAGAATTCTCAGATATTTTCCGGCGAGCTTTTGCTTCTCGAGTTTTTCCACCCGAAATTGTGGAGCAAATGGGTGAGTATGACCTGGAGAAGCATGGCTGGGGTGCAGGATGCGGGGCTGTTTCTGGCTTGTAAAGACTGGATAGCGGCTAACAGTGCTGTGATGCTGTAACTTGCTTAGGGATCTAACAGACTAACAGAGCCTTTTTTTGCCCCTCCTGCTCCCAAATGTGTTTCATACTCTTGTTACTTGGCTGGAGAAGGGGGACAAAGAAACAGAGTGAATGCTCAGTGCTGTACGTGAAATGTCTGAACGAATGAGACGTGTGGTTTAGAATCACAGAATCACAGAATGGGAAGGGAAGGGTGGGAAGGGACCTCTGAGATCATCCAGTTCCAACCCCCTTGCCATGGGCAGGGACACCTTCCCCTACACCAGCTTGCTCAAAGCCCCATCCAACCTGGCCTTGAACACTGCCAGGGATGGGGCAGCCACAGCTTCTCTGGGCAACCTGTTCCAGTGCCTCAGCACCCTCAGTGTGAAAAATTTTTTTCTTATATCCAATCAAAATCTCCCCTCTTTCAGTTTAAAGCCATTGCCCCGTGTCCTGTCACTACACGCCCTTGTAAAAAGTTCATTCAGTTTAACTGGCTACTTTTCTGTTGGAACGAGACGCTCCCTGTTCTTCCGAATGCTGCGGTTACTCACGGCGGGGAGGCTGATACTCCTGTTCCTGACTTACTGGCGACGGGCTGTCATCTGTATAGACCAAAGGAAATTGTGTCTTCGTGATCCTGCCTTAGATATTAAATACCTGTTGTCCTGGCAGCTGCACTACAACCCTCTGTCCCTCTCGCAGCGTTAGCCCAGTAAACACAGGATCAGTGTGATCCGTGCTTGGGCAGATCTGAAACGCCAGAGAGGAGGCACAGGCCGTGGCACGTCTTGGTGTTTGTGAAATAAAAGCACAGATTCTAAATATAACTTTTTTTTTTTTAATTTTTGGGTCAGGGGAAGGAAAGGCAGTCCCATCACTTTGTAAACATGTGCTGGCAGGCAGATAAATGGTACTGGTTTTAATTTTTAGTAAGCAGTATGCAGCTGCAGGTGTCTTAATTTGTCACATCAAGCGGCTGGGGATGTTATAGCTGGTCCGTGTTCTGTGAATATCATCTCTGTGGGTTCAGGTTTAAACTTGGAATCTGTAGCTGCATAATTGCTGTGTATGTTTATGTTTCTTGATCCACCTTCCCTCCCTCCACAAACGAAGCAATCAAGATTTTGATTACAAAACAGATTTTCATCAGAAGATACGTCCTGTTTGTGTGTGGCTGGGTGAAGTGTGCCTGTTTCCAGGGCTTGGGGAACTGATGTTCAAGTGAACTTCTCTGAGAAGTGCATTAGGGCTTTTCTTAGCGATTCGAACACTTCTGGAGAAGCCCTGGAGAAGCCCTGTAGGCTAATTCCAATTAAAGGACCATTCTCTCTCTCTTGCCTTTTTACTTCCTATCCATCTGATGGCCAAGGCCTTCTGGGAGCTGATCTTGGTTCTCTTGGCTTTGGCGGCTGTGAGCAAGTCATAACTTCTCTGCCTCTGCTTGGGAATATCAAATGCTTGAGTTTGTTAAATATTTAGCTGCTCTGCAGAGAGAGGAAGTGAGAGAAATGGTATTGGCTACGGAAAGAAAAGCCATATATTCTTGGCTGCAGTACCAAGTCCTTAGCTGTGACAATATGCGAAGGTAAAAGGCTTAGACTTTGGGAATTCTAAATTTTGGAATCTACCTGGACTTGTTCAAAGCATTTGACACTGTCCTGCACAACATCCTGTCTCTAAATTGGAGAGACACGGATTTGATGGATGGACCACTCGACTGCGTAAGGAATTGGCTGGATGGTCGCACTCAAAGAGTTGCAGTCTCGATGTCCAAGTGGCTCGATGTCCAAGTGGAGACCAGTGATGAGTGACATTCCTCAGGGGTTGGTATTGGGTCCGGTGCTGTTTAATGTCTTTGTTGGAGACATGGACAGTGGGATCGAGTGCACCCGCAGCAAGTTTGCAGATGACACCAAGTTGTGTGGTGTTGTGGACATGCCGGAGCGAAGGGATGCCATCCAGAGGGACCTGGACAGGCTGGAGTGGTGGGCCTGTGAGAACTTGATGAAGTCCACCAAGGCCAAGTGCAAGGTCCTGCACATGGGTCGGGGCAATCCCAAGCACAAGGACAGGCTGGGCAGAGAATGGATGGAGAGCAGCTCTGAGGAGAAGGACTTGGGAGTGTTGGTGGATGAGAAGCTCAACATGAGCCGGCACCGTGCGCTGGCAGCCCAGAAAGCCAACCGTGTCCTGGGCTGTATCCAAAGCAGCGTGGGCAGCAGGGCGAGGGAGGGGATTCTGCCCCTCTGCTCTGCTCTCCTGAGACCCCCCTGCAGTGCTGCGTCCAGCTCTGGGGCCCAACATCAGAAGGACATGGAGCTGCTGGAGCGGGTCTAGAGGAGGCCACCAAGATGATGCGAGGGCTGGAGCACCTCTGCTATGGAGACAGGCTGAGATAGTTGGGGCTGTTCAGCCTGGAGAAGAGAAGGCTCCAGGGAGACCTTCCAGTACCTAAAGGGGCTACAGGAAAGCTGGAGAGGGACTTCTGACAAGGGTGTGTAGTGACAGGACACGGGGCAATGGCTTTAAACTGAAAGAGGGGAGATTTCCATGGGATCTAAGGAAGAAATATTTTAGAATGAGGGTGCTGAGGCACTGGAGCAGGTTGCCCAGAGAAGCTGTGGCTGCCCCATCCCTGGAAGTGTTCAAGGCCAGGTTGGATGAGGCTTTGGACAATCTGATGTAGTGGAGGGTGTCCCTGTCCATGGCAGGGGATTGGAACTAGATAATCCTGAAGGTCTCTTCGAACCAAAAACCATTCTATGATTCTCATCAGAGTCACTGAACTGTGATGAGAAATATGTTAGCAGACAAGAATTAGAGCTCCTTTTCGTTTTGCTCCACCTTCACCTATTCAGCTTCCCGGCTGCGCAGTCTGGCAGCATGTGGAGCTGTCGTGCGTCACGCTGCGATTACGTGACCTTGATATTATCACTGGCTGAAACAGCTGGACAGCTGGGCACGCTTTGGTACCAATGTGCTGCAGCTAACTTTGCCATGGAGGACCTACATCTCCGTCAGGTACCTCTGGAGAAGGTCGGAAGCCTTGGTGGCTGCAGGCCGAGGTCGTGGAGCAGCTGTGCAGGGCATGCTGCTCAGGTGGTTCCTCCTGTTAGTTGGTGTTGCTTAATGCAGGAAGAAATAGAGTCTCTGAAGGACCACTGGTATTTTGATTACCCTGGGCAATGAGCGAAAGGTGTGCCACGTTATTTATATAAATCCCGATAGCCTTACTTGTGCGTGTTTGCACCCATGCTGCACAAAGAAACGTTCTTCTGGGAAGAAGCGAGACTCCAAACAGAGCTCTCGCTCTGCGATTAACCCTAGGGCTAAGGAGCTTATCTGAAATTTGAAAAAACAAAACTTTCTGACATGCATTTTCTTTGCCTTAGTTATAACTTGCTCTTAACTATATTTCAGATCTGAAATGTCAGCGTGACAGCTGTTCACCTTTGTGTATAATTTATTGGGAAAGGAAAAGAAAGAATTCACTTGCTCTCTGGTCCTCCAGTGCTCACCCACTCCTGCTTTTCGCCCAGCGCTCACAGACTGCAACTTCCATGCCAAATGCAATAAATATTTCTGTCCCATAACTACAGAGAGGCTGTATAGAGCCTTCAAAAACTGCTTGCAATTTGTGTGTGGTTTATCTAACTTCCAAGGAATGTTCTGGGTTTGGAGCATATAAATCAACGTTAGTTAACTGTGTCATCCGAGGGTGTAAATACTACTCTGATGCTACAATCTTTGGTTTATCCAAGAAAAGAAATCTTAGATCAACTTCAGCTGGTCATCAGACCTTGCCATAGCTCCCTGCTGCCCCGGAAAGGGGCAATTTGCTTTTCCCTACCCACGCTTTTCCCGTACGCGTATCTGCCACCTCCAGCTTTGGGCTTGCATGGCTCTGTAGGGAGCTACTACAACTGGAAGCACAAAATAAAATACTACTACTAAAAAAAACCTTGCAGGGTCAGCATTGAGCTAGATCGGCCCCTTGGTTGGCTCGATGTGACGGAGCTCCGTGACTCCAGGGCCCGCGGGAGGAGAGCAGTGGGCAGCGGAGGTGAGGTCCCTTTGGAACCACGGCAGGACCTTCATCAGTTCAAGCTGATCGCTTTTGAGGGTTCAGTTCCACAGTCGTTCACTGGAGATGCTCTAGTGCCAGGGACATTGGCCATGCTATTCTCTTTCACCTGGTGCTTGGCTCTTCTTTGTGCTGCCAAATGGAATAAATCCCTGTCTGGATGAGGACTGAGGAGGGTGTCTGGAAGCCAAAGGGGCAGTCCTTTGTAAGGCCGTCCGCGGGACCTCGCTGCCGTAGGAATGGTGCTTCTGAGGAAGAACCTTACGCTGCGGGGCACTGGGGCAGGGGAGCTCGCAGTCATTGCTCTCAGAAGGACAGCCCGACCAAAGCTGGATTGCCAGGGAGTCCTCCTCCTTTTCCAGCCCTTCCTGTACCTCCGTGACTTCCAGCTCAGAATAAAGCTGTGCAACTTTCTGGCGAGCTGCGGACTGCTCTTGGTTACTCTGGTGCAGTTCTCAGCATCCTCTGGCTCAAGCCACAGCTCCCCTCTTTGTTTGATAAATACTTTATTTTTCTAAACTGCTCCTGCAGATAAGCCCTTTCTTCAAATCCCTGTTAAATACTGGTTTTGCTGCTGAGACTTCAGATTCAGCTCATTCAATGGCTTGTGTCATTATCTAACATTAAGGTGATCGCTGAATACTTGGTATAACACAGTTCTCTCTTGTTTTTTTTTCTTTTTTCTCCTCACTTCAACAGATATTTATCCATTTGCACTAAAGTTTTTGGTATTTGGTGCCTGGAGCTGTAAATTTCAACAAACCTGAGAAGCGTTTTCTCAGACCTGAAAAGAAAATGCTAGTCCTGAACTCGTGTTTTTCTCTTTAAGGA